ATATATATATATATATATATATATATATATATATATATATATATATACACACATCCAACTACACAACATAATATAGGTAAAAAATAAGAATATGGGGGAGCTACTGTTTCCACGGGTCCCCTTTATCCCTTAAGAGTAGGACACTACAAGTTTGAGCTTATCACCATGAGACTGTAACAACACAGAGTTTATTTAACTTGCTTAACTCATCCAACTGTTTGGATGAACGGTTTTTGATAATTTTGTAGAGTTAAGACAATTGCTGAGAAAAGTTCTACTTTTAGCTTTGTGAATTTCTGTTCTGCTTCTGGGATCCATTAAATTGTATCTCACATAGCTACTAGTGTGTCATAAATAAAACTTAAGAAAAATTGAGTTTTTTTTTCATAATGTGGAATCTAAGCCCTGCAGTAATTGCACAATTCTAAAAAGACATTTGTTCTTTAGTTACTGGCTTACGCTCTTTAGCTATTACAGTTTTTCACTCTTCCTGTAGCTTTTTACCTTGTTCTGAAATAACATGGCCCAAGCAACAGACTTGTTTCAGTACCCGCGAAAATTTTTATAGTTGGTTTTATACTTTCCTTTGCTTCACATTTTAGCAGATATTGTTTTATCCTTGGGCTGTATTGTTATTTAGGAACTATTTTAACTGGATCTACAGTTGTCAACAGTCCTACATCAATTCTTCCTGTAGACCACAAAGCATTTGGAATATCTTTGAAATCATTTTCATCAAATTGTGATAGCAAAAAATGCTGAGTTATTTTAACACATGTTAAATCTTGAATCTGGGGTTTTACATCGAACAGAATTTTATAAGGGTGTTTCCGTAGTTGAAACAGATAGACATGGAGCAGAGATGATAAGCATGTTGCATAAAACACAGAAGGATTTAGTTGCAATGCCATTACATGTAATATTCGTACAACCTTCATTCCCCCCAGGGGGGAAAAATTGCAATGCCTAATTTTCCATCAAGTCTCGTCCTAACAGATTAATAGGGTGAGTTGGTGATATTACTACAAAAACATGCAACCTTCAACATTTTTCCTGTTTGAAGGTCTTCCATTTCTATTGCCCTTGACATCCATCCCTAGGATGTTTGACCATTTGCTGATTTTACAAAAATTAGCATTTTAGATGGTTTTAGCATTTACATTATCATTAACAGAAGTATTACAGGCTCCTGAATCGCATATAAGTCTAACTGCCTGTCCATTAATTGCTAGAACTATTCATGTTTTTTTCTTTTTTAAATGCATTTAATATCCCCCATGCTCCATACACCTCTACAATTGCAAAACCAACTAATTTCTTTCCGGAAGCTGACCCATCCACATAAAAATTTATATAACCCTCCTTTGGTTCATCTTTTCCCCCGGGTGGTTAGATCCAGGGAATAAAATGCTTTTGGGAATGAGCCTGAATGTATCACGTGTGTCAGCTGCTTCAAGCTCTGGTGTAACTTCCCCTTGCAGCATAAAATCTTTTAAACTCCCAATCCTTTGTCTGTAGGGACCAGCACTAATTGCAATTTCCTTAACAAATCTCTGCCTAATAAATTAACTGGATAGTCTGGGCTTAACACAAAATCAGCTTCCGACGTGAATCCCTCTTCATCGGTGACCAATTGTTTTTCAGAAATGCGCTGAACCACCATTTTCCCATCAGCAGAGACTACAGTGATCCATTTTGGTCCCTCTTTAATCTGAAGTAATTCATCCCTCAGGACAGATTTATTGGCTGCGTTGTAAAGAGATAGTAAACCTTACTATCTCGAGAACAACACAGAGTCCCAAACTCAAACGCACAGAATACTTAGATGCCATATCTGTCAACAAGACTTGGTCTCGTTAAATATTCTTGCGATTACAGCTGTAACTTAAATGGTCCCAGACCAACTTTTGATCAAAATCTTTAGGCCTACCCTTTGTCATGTAGATCAGTCCTCAGGGAGTTGTCACCAGGATGCCCAGGGCAGGGCTGGACCAAACTGGCCCCGTCCGGCGAAGGGGGGACAGCTGTCAACAGATTCTTGGCCTTGGTCCCACACTGTCCTGGACAATTGGATCTTGACTCCCGGGTTTCGGCACCAAAAATGTTGGGTTCAAAAATGTAGGTTTGTAAAAGAAAAACTGAAATTCACAGTAAGTCTTTTATTAACAGAACATAACACATGGTTACAAACAGAGTATTGTTCTGACAGAACAGTTGATCAGGTCATAAGACAGGATGCTCCATGACTGAATCACAAGGCAGGGTGGTCTCCTGACTGAATCACAAGACAAAGTGAAGCATCTACTTGCTCAAATATTTCATAAGCACTCACAGACATGAATTTTATAATCATCATTGAATAAACAGTAACCTGTGTAATGTTCTGTCACAACTAACACATTTGCTACACCTTTAGAGTCTGGCTCTATCTGCAAAAAGTCAATACAGACTAAATCCATAGGGCCATTGCTTGTTATTTGATTCAAAGGAAAGGTATGATGAGGGAGCGTCTTCCTGGCGATGCATCTACCACAGGTTTGAATGTACTGCTCAACCTCAGCTGCCATCCGTGGCCAATAGAATCTTTCTTTGACCAGTTCAACGGTGCACTCTACTCCCATGTGACCACATTCATAATGTAGAGATCTCAACACCATTGAATGATATCTTGCTGGTAATACAAGTTGTTTGATTTGTTTTCCACACATCTTTTCTTTTTCCCGGTAGAGTAATCCATTCTTTAACTCCAACTCGTGTCTTTCACGTAGAAGCAACAAAGTTTCAGGTGAGTCATTTGTTGAGTGAGTCAGTTCTTTATTATTTTTCAGCGCTTTCTTTACTGGTCCAATTGTTGGGTCCATATCTTGTGACGCCTGGATGTCTTGCAGACTCAGCAGCTCAATGGTGTTAAGGCTGAGGTTCACTGGGAACATGTAGGCTTCTGGCACAGCTGCAGCAGGAGCTCCCAGCTGATCTACCAACCTGTCAGGCACATCTACCTTTTCAATCATGCAAGCTTACTTGCAAAAAGCTTTGATGCCAGCAGATGGAAGACTATTCCACTCTTTGATCTCCTCAGTTGTTTACTGTCGAGACAACAAATCTGCATCGATGTTGTGCCTCCCAGGACGATACTGGATGGTGAAATCATAGGTGGAAAGGGCAGTGAGCCAACGATGTCCAGAGTTTAGCAGAGGTCAACACATAAGTCAATGGGTTGTTGTCAGTTCTAGCAATGAATTTAGCTCCATACAAGTAATCATGGAACTTGTCTACAACAGCCCATTTCAATGCCAGAAATTCCAGTTGATGGACTGGATAATTGTGTTCTGAATCTTTAAGCTTGCGTCTTAGCCCTTCAGGATACTCCTGGTTCAGGACAGCACCCAGTCCATTCATACTGGCGTCCACATGTAAGATATATGTCTTTGTAGGGCCAGCAAATGCCAACACAGGGGCATTGATCAAACAGTCGCTTATCCGCTCAAACGCCTGCTGGCAGGCGGCTTGAGTCCAACGTTCTCCAAAAGGTTCTGATGGCTTGAAATAGACGTTACTTTGTCCAACACTCTTTCTGCACTTTGGATCTTGCAATGTGGGAGCATAACCCTTTGTTAGCTCAGAGAGGGGACGAACAATAGCAGAATAATTTGCAATAAATCACCGATAATAACTGCTGAATCCGAGGAAGGACCTCAACGGTTTCAGGTGAGTGGGTTCTTTCCAGTGTTTTACCACCTCCACTTTGTCTGGATCAGTAGCTATTCCACTAGCAGAAACAATGTGTCCCACATACTGTACTTCACCTCAGGCTGACAGAATTGACATTTGTCAATAGAAACCTTTAAACCAACCTCTTCCAGTCGATCCAATACTTTCAGTAGACGCTGCTCATGCGCTTCAAGGATTTTCCCAAAAATGATTATGTCATCCAAGTACACAAGAGCTTCAAGAAGATGCATATCTCCAACAGCTTTCTCCATTAAGCGCTGAAATGTTGCGGGCGCTCCAGTTATTCCTTGTGGCATGCGTTCAAATTGATAAAACCCAAGGGGGTAACCGTGTCCACAGCAAACATCTCCACCACAACAGTCCCAACTGGGATGGAAGTTGTCTTTTTGGACTCATTTTGAATGAGCACAGTGCAACTTTTGTCTACGTCAGTATCTGGGAGCACACCAGGCCGTACCAACAGACCTGCCGGGAGTAACAGAGCAGTGGGTGCATCAATCAGTATGAGGTCTTTGCCTGGATCAATCTGTTTTTCCACTATGCAGGTGGCATAGCATTTGGCACCTGGAGTGATAGAGAGTAGACCTGGCCCTTTCCACTTTATCTGTCCCAAGATTTCATTTTCTGCTGTTGGCTTCCATGCTTTGACCGGTGCATACACCGACTAGATTCTTGGGGAGTGAACAGTTTTTTTTATCACCCTTTGTCTTCACCAGTTCCCTTAGGCGACGGAACAGAGATGTGTTTGTTCAAACCAGTACAGGGGTTTGTTGTTGGTTTCTTGGCTCAGGACAAATTAAGGCGAGCACTTCTACTCTGCCTTTCACACCAGTGATCTCCTCTGAAAACTCCATCTCTACAACAACATAGCCTTTGTAAGGATACTCGGCATCCGAGAGGCCCCAGAGTCCAAGGCCAGCAAGGGGTTTTATCGGGATATCAGAAAGATGTTTGTTATACCAGTTTTCAAATATAATAGTCACATTGTCTATTAGAGCTTCACAGACCACATCATTAACTTTGATGGTGTGAATAAATTATGGCCCTACAAGACCCTCAGGTAAGTCTGTGTTGTGTTCTGGGACTTCAAACCTTGTTAATTTTAGCTACACACTGTTCCTCACCTGTGATTTTTTTAGGGTTGTCTTTGCTGGGTGAAGGGGTAACTCGCACCAAGCGTATGAGCTTTCTGATGACTTTCTGAAAATCCTTAGGAGCAGTACATCTAGTAGCTATGCGGCAATTTTCGCCACAGCGATAACAGAAGAACTCGTTACTGTCTTTGGGAGAGGAGCCTCTGGAATGAGTGGGCTTGTGACCTGGAGCTACTTTGCATCTGTAAGGTTGCTGTGTGTGCTCTTGTGAGGGGTCTGTAGTGTATTTTACAGTCATTGCACACATTTTGTTTTCTAAGGCTTTCACTTGCTTTCTTAGTGATTGCAGTTCACTCTTTGCTTCATGTTTTTGGTTTTGTTTCTCTTTAGGATCATTAATGGACTCATCGGTGAGTGGCTGAGCTGTCTGCTCTAACTGTGCTCTCAACTCTTGGATCTGAGCTTGAAGTTCAATCCTGGAGGGTGAGGAGTGTTCTTTCTCTTTTTCGGCTTGAATAGTGCGCACACGTTGGGGACGCAGGTGTGACACTTGGCTTTGTCTGGCTGACTGGCGACTTTCCTCTTCCATCACTTCTCTAAACAGGTTCAAAAATGTAGGAGGATTACTGCTCCTTTCCCTTATTTTCAACTGCAGCAACATGAGTTCAGAGGTGTGTCGGGTTCATTTTCTTAAGAAGAACTGAAATACAGACTCATCGATATAATTCCTGCAGGAAGGAGAGACAGTTAAACCCCAGACTCAAACATACTGTCTCCCACTGGCCCTCCTCTGCAGAGCGTTTATTAACAGAACATGACGTATGGTTACAAACAGAGTATTGTTCTGACAAAACAATTAAATTAATCAGTTCATGAAGACAGAATGCTCCATCAGGATGACAAGGCAGGATCATGGATCATGAGACAGGAGTGGAGCATCTCCTTGCACAAATGTTTCATAAGCACACATTAATTTTATAATCACCATTGAATAAACCTGACAAGGTGGACCCTCTAAGGTGGACTGCTCTAAACGAGCGCTGTTTGCAGTGCTGACAGATAAACCCCCTCCTTGCACTACTTTGACAAGAGATCTCTCTATTCTTCGTAGGAACACTCATCAGGAAGTTGGCGGAGGGCTCTAAAAGACAGATATTGTTCTTCTGGGGACTCAACTGTACCAAAAATGCTCACTATAGCCTTTATGTACTCATGTGGACTAGCATCAGGTTGAGTCAAACGCACAGCCTGAATAATTTCAAAAGCTGGTCTCTTGAGACTTTCTAGGATCCGGCGTTGTTTCTCTTTGTCCGAGCACTCTCCTTCCTCTACTAAGAGTGTCGCTTGCTCCAGCCAATTGTCCAAGGATTCCTCTCCAGCGGGAGTGGGACTAATCCCTGAATATGTCCGCAGACGTCTGTATGGGTGGGTGTTGGGATATTTGTTTGCTCTGCTCATAACATCACCGACTGCACTGATAATGTCTTCAGGATTGCTATTACCCTCTTTGGTGGGTGAATATAGACTCTGGATGTCCTCCAGGGTTCTCCCTTCACTTTGTAAAAAGGTGAGCAACTTATCTTCAAAGTTATCAGTCTGAGGCTCTGAGTACCAAACAGTTTTACAACCACTTCCTTCATTTATAGGCCTTATCTCAGGTGGGATTTTAGATGGGTCAATCTCTTCACAACACTCGCATAACACCAGACATTTTTGTTGAGGGTGAAACATTTTCCCTCTAACTGTAACTTTTCCCAATGCTTTAATGGTCTCAGCTGTGTTTTCAATGTCTTCCCTTGAAGGAGCTTTAGGCACTCCATATAACAAGAGAGCATGCTTTTAGTCTACTGCTTCTCCTATGCACCAGTTAATTAGCTTACGTTGTGATGGATTGCTTGTTTGTGCTGCCATCGAAAAAAGTTTGTTTGAAATACTTTTAATCTGTACGTTATAAAAAAATACTCTAAAGTTGTGGGGTCAAATTACTTTTTGGTTATCTTAGGTTAAATACATCCCAGCGGTGCCTCCATTTTATATAGCCCTCTTTTACTCACCAATTAATTGAGTGGGCTCTGGGTTCTATCAATCTTATTTTCTTTAAAATGTATGTCGTTGATCTGTACACTATTCAGATTTAGTATTGCACACTTAATATTAAACTAAGGAGTTGCAGACTAAATAATCACTGTACACAAAGTATAACGTGTTAACATTACCCGTCCCTTTATTGAGAAAAATAAAAACACAAATAAGAAGGGGTTAAAATAATAACTTTTGAACCTTATTTTTTAAAAGAAAAACAAACACAAACCCAAAAGTAAAACACCCACAATGGGTTAATCCAAATTTACAGTAAAATATTTCTTTAAAAAAAATAAAAACTATAGACTAATCCTAAAGCCAGCAAACCTCAACTTTAGCAGGCCTGTTCTGATGCTTGTGATGAGGGGAAAAAAAGGAATACCTGGTGGAAGATGATGTAAAAATCCTACAGAAATGCTCTGCTCTGTTCAGTCCTCGTCTCCAGCGGGAAAGAAAAAAAATACTGGGACTCGCAGTCACAGCTCCAACCATGTGCGTAATCCACAAACGGTCACAAACTTTTCATCCGTGTCTCCAACGGTGCCAGAGGTCCTCTGAGCGCTTCCTGGTGGATCAGAGTACTATCTGGGTCCAAACTCTCTTGTCTGGTTGAGTACCGGTCCTATGCAAGCTCCTACATCCAGGTGAATAAGCGAACGGCAGCCTATATCCCATTAGGGAGCTGCTAATGGTAAGCTAACGGCTAGAAAACAGTCCCGCAAGCTTCGAGTAGAAGCTCTGCTGTCTTCTACCCTGGACTTAACCAACTGTACTTCTTGTGGGTTATCGTAGGGACAACCCACGGCAACAATAACCGTCTAAAATCTTGAATAAGTGAACATCACCTTGGAGATATGGACTTAAAGTCAGCCGAACCGGTGCTGATTTCTTTTTCCCTGCTGCGCTCTCTCAACACCTGTGATACCTTCAAAAACCTTCTTCTGTGTAGGAAATTACACTTCTCACATGAAACCTTCCTAAAATGAAATAAAACTGTGGAAACAGATGTTTTAAACACATGAACATTTTAAATAAATCTAGAAGATTGTATTTAACCCT